TGCATTTTATTTTTATAAAAAAATAAAATGCATGCGTTTGCATGCATTTGGGGCTGCATGCACAAACAAAATATTGTTAAACAAACTTATTTATATTACTTTTTTAATAAATTAATTTTTATTTTATTTATATAAATTTATTTATAGATACAATTAAACAAATTAATTTTTCTTATAACTAAACAAGTATATTTATATTTATATAAATATATTTATATAAATATATTTATATAAATATATTTATAAAAATATATTTATATAAATATAAATATATCTGTTTCTTTTTTTCTTCATTAGAGGCAAACCAGAGAGGGGGCCCCCTAACAAGTAAAGGGGGGCCCCCCCGCAACCCTGGGGGCCCCCAGCAACCCTGGGGGCCCCCAGCAACCCGGGGGGCCCCCAGCAACCCCGGGGGCCCCCAGCAGCCCCAGTGGGGCCCCCAGTAGATAGAGGGGGCCCCCCAGGAAGCAGAGAGGGGAGCTCAGCAGAAAGAAGCAACGAGGGTTTAGGGTTTAGGGTTTAGAGACGATATAAAAAGAAATTAAAAAAAAAAAAAAAAACAGATAAAGGGTTTAGGGTTTAGGGGCCCCTCGCCCGAAGGAGACGCATACTTTAGGGGCTCACACGCACCCGGGTTGCTGCTGCAGTGTCTGCTGCTGCTGCTGTTGCTGCTATATCTGCTGCTGCTGCTGCTGCTGCTGCTGCTGCTGTAGTGCCTGGTGGAGCATCTGATTAAGAACTGCCTGTTGTTTGCGCTGCTGTTGCAGTATCTGCTGCTGTTGCTGCTGCAGTGTCTGCTGCTGCTGCTGCAGTATCTGCTGCTGCTGCTGCAGTATCTGCTGCTGCTGCTGCTGCTGCAGTATCTGCTGCTGCAGCTGCTGCAGTATCCGCTGCTGCAGCTGCTGCAGTATCTGCTGCTGCTGCTGCTGTTGCAGTATCTGCTGCTGCTGCTGCTGCAGTATCTGCTGCTGCTGCTGCTGCAGTATCTGCTGCTGCTGCTGCTGCTGTACCTGCTGCTGCTGCTGCTGCAGTATCTGCTGCTGCTGTTGCTGTTGCAGTATCTGCTGCTGCTGCTGCTGCAGTATCTGCTGCTGCTGCACCGTTGTGTATAGAGCTAGTCTGTTGCTTGTCTTCCTTCTTTTTCTGTCTCTTCATTTGCTGCTGCTTTTGCTGCTGCTGCTTCTGCTGCTTCTGCTGCTGCTGCTGCAGCTGCTGCTGCTGCTGTCTCTCCTTAAGTAGCGCCTCAATACGAGGAGCCGCTCGCTGCGGCCTGAAAAACAAAACAAAGCCCCAAACATGCAGCAGCAATGCATGCATGCATGCATGCATGCATGCATGCGTGCATGCAACACAAACCCTAAACCCTAAACCCTAAACCCTAAACCCTAGTATATATCTCCCCCCCCTAACGAGTGCACATGCAGATAGGGATAGTCTCTCCTCTTCTTCTCTGTCGATTCACACACAAGCAAATGCATGCATGCATGCATGCATGGTGCTGCAACGCATGCATGCACTGCATGCATGCATGCATTTGCTGCTCTCTATGCCAGCATGCATGCATGCGTTGCAGCAGCAGCACCAGCACCAGCAGCAGCAGCAGCAGCAAGCATGCATGCATGCATGCATGCAAGTATAATTTGGGGTGTATAGGGAGCTAGCTGACCTTCCCCATAGAGTTTTATGTCTTCCTTTTATACAGACAGCCCCAAGCGGCATTTGTTTTTGTTTATATATTTGCTTTGCATGCACGCATATTATTTTTACTTCTTTTTTTTCTTTTTGTTTAGAATAAAAAGCAGCACAATCTGCTGCTAGTGCTGCAGCAGCAGCAGATACAGATACACGCTGCTGCGCCCCCTCCTCCTGCACCTGCTCCTGCTGCTGCTGCTCCTGCTGCTGCTGCTGCTGCTGCTGCTGCTGCTG